TATTATGATGTTGTCCAGGAAATAGCATTTAAAGCTGTTGCCAGACACTGGAGTTGTTTGGATTGCTCTGAAACAGCCTCATGCAGCAGAGTCCAGGATATTGGCAGTCAGCAGTAACAGGTATTACATGAGAGCTCAGAAATCAGTTCTTTCCTGTGATCTCATCCCCCTGATGAACAAACCCTTTAATTAACCAAGCACTCCTGTAGCAGCACCACTGACTGACTGTGTGAAGAAAAGCTGCTGCAGAGAGGAGGAGTCCATTAAAGAAAGAGAAAACTGCCCTGCAATCTTTCAGGGAGATTATACAACTGCATCAAAATTAAACTGATATTAATCCAATTCTCATTTCACTGTTTGCCTGCTGAAGTTCATGTGTGACATGGAACAATCTCTTCATTTTTTAACCAAAGTCTGGAATGCAAATTCAATTTTTATTTTGTCTTTGATCTAACCTTAGAAGAAGTCTGTAAAAGTCATTCTTTCAGGCTGTAATTCACCACTGGTCTCCTGAGGCACCAGCCTGGGTCGATCGATCCCCTTCCTTGCCAGGTGCTGGGGTCACTCCTGTAAACTCGATGGTTCTATTGCTCTGCTCCCCAAGTGCTTCACCCACTGAGAGCCTTTGGTTTCCTTCCTGTGTGCTGGGGGTGACTGTGAGACCTCCCAGGCACAGGTTTGTGTCAGCAGGGACTCTTCAGAAGTTCCAAAACTGAACAAAGACCCGGAGCTCCTGTGGCCGTGGCCCTAACTCCTGGCACAGCCGGCAGTGGCTCCTGCTGCCCTGCAGCTTCTTCCCACCTGCTCTGCAGCTCTCAGCACTGACAGCTGCAGCAGCACCAGCCCTTCATCCTCAGCAAGGGCAGCAGCAGCTCTTCATCCTCAGCCAGGGCAGCAGCAGCTCTTCATCCTCAGCCAGGGCAGTACCAGCTCTTCATCCTCAGCAAGGGCAGTACCAGCTCTTCACCCTCAGCAAGGGCAGCCGACTCCAGCTTTGCCCCGTTTTTGAAACCAGTGTGAATGTGGTCAATAGGGAGTTGTCAAACCTTCAATATTTAATTTGGGGCACTATGATAACACTCAGAATTAAGCTGGATCCAGGGCAAAGTAATTAAAAACCTGACTGGGGAATGGTCCTACTCGCATCTGCCTCAGGCACCTTAATGTGCCACAGAAACGCGCCAGCCCCTCCCTGCGGGATTCAGAGTGCCAGAGACCCTCCTCAGCAGAGCATGATTAGAGGCTCTGAAGCTGCAAAAGCTACATGAATGCCAGAGGGAATCTTCTTGTTCATCCTGATGGCATTCACTGCAGGGATTATCGCTAGGAACGCAAATGAGGTGAGCAGGGGTGCAGTGGCAGTTTGTAATCTATTCTGAGTCTTTACATCACCTCCCTGCTGCCTGTATCTGCTGCCTGATAACAGCAGCAGCTTTCAGTCTTCTGTTTTAATCTACACAGCCATTAAAATCCACTTCTCAGCAATTACCTGACATAAGTTTTAGGAGAATTTGGGGCTGTTGTAGCCAGCCAGCTGATTGAAGGTGCAGAGTCAGAGCCCCACAGTGCTCTGGGCTCCTGTTGGACTCAGAACAATCTTTCCTTCAATAGCCTGAGCAATGGTACAATATTCACATAGGCTGTAAATACAGAACCAAAACTGAAAATTCATTCCTGATAATTCTATCTGGAGATGCCCTGCCCCACACAAACCATAGGAGACTCCACAGCTGAAGCTCTTTCTACCAAAGCAGTATCAGACCTCTTTGCAAACAAAACGTGCAGTGATTTGAACAGAGAGCATTGTTTACCTCCACTAAGCAAGAAAAACACAATAAACTTGGCAGCTTTGTAAAAAAAAAAATCCAGGAATGCTGGATTTTAGCACATTTCCCCAGCCAGCAGCATCTTCCCTCCTGCTGCTCAGTGACAGCACACACAGAGCAGTGTCCATCAGCTGGTGCATGGGGGAATTACTGGGCTAAGCTGTTTCAAGGGCAGTTTCAAGCTGAAGTAGAATGCTGTGTAATCTCCAGTTATCTGTTATTATTCCTTATTAAAGAAGAGCCTCTCAGCAATCACTGACACAGCGAGGTGTAACAGAACTGACAGGGTTGACTCAGTGCAGTCAGCAGAGCCCAGCACCAGCCCCTTCATGGTGCTCCACAATGGGAAAGCACATCCCAGCTCCTTGTCCAGGTGCACAGCGGATGCAGAGCTTATGAGACTGGGAAAAGTCCAATTTTCTTTTTATGTTACCCACTTCATGCCCTGCCCACACTTCAAGGACCTTGCTGCCGTTCAAAAGTGAAAGCGTTTTGCTGTGTGTGCTTCACTACAGAAAATCATGCTCAGAGCAAGTCTGTGGTAAACCACATGGAAAAAAAAATTATCAGCAGGAGAGGAGATTCCCAAAGCACCAGCCAGCCCTGCAATTATTGGACAGCTAGTTTGGGGAGAAAACGGAGCTAAACAAAGGCTGCAGTATGTGCAGTGCTCTCACTGACAGCCCAAGTTAAACATGTTACAGAAAATGGGCCTGTCAGCCAAACAGGGATTTCAGGCAATGTCTTAATTCCCCAAAACAGTCTATTGACAGTGATTTACATGTGACAGGAAGGCTCCAGAGCAGATGGGAAGCTGGCAGGCTGTTTGGATAGCTGTAGTCCAAGGAAGATTGCCACTGAATGCTCCAACAGTTCTATAGAGCAGAGACAAACTAAATATGCAAACTGTAAATGTAATTAAAAGGACTGAAGGGATTGGTTAGGAAGGGAAAATGAAGGACTTGAAAGGTATATGTGGAAATATTTAAACTAACACGTGGGATTTGTATGACAACATTAGGAGGGATGAGTATCAGACAAAGAATAAATTTATGGGGAAATCCACAAGGCTGTTTACTAATGCTCCTGATGCACTTAACTAAGATAATTAAAAGCTATAAGTTGACATGCCATTTTAGGAAAAAGATTGTAGGAAACAGCCTGGTATCAGCAAAGAATAAATTGGTCCAATATACATTTCATGAAGAAGTCTCACAAAGGATGCACTGCAAACCACAGATCCAAAACACACACACACAACCCTGCTTTGCCACCCCCACACTTACTTGGGTTCTGCATTTTTAGGTCTCCCAGTTCAGCACTGATACCATAATTTCTCATGGGATATTAGGACTTGTGTCCTCAGAGCCAGCATTTAGTTCTGTCCCTTAGGAACTCGTATTTTAATTTCCACAAGTGCCAGTGGGAGGAGGACTGGAGCAGCCATCCTGAGGGCCAGGTAACCCCTACATCACAGTGTGTGCCTCAGGGACCAGCCCAGCTACCACTGCACAGCAGCTCTGCTTTGATACCTGTTGCAGGGGAATGGCCCAGCCCAGGGTGCTCACCTGTTCTGGCAACACTATCAGTGAATACCACTGGGAATATTTTTAATTAGCATTTTAATTATCAGCATATACTCCCCTCCCTAGCAGGTGTGGGCAGTTTGGGCACTAAAACTCCATTGTTCCTCTGATCTAGGTTAGCACAAGTGCTGTAAATCCAAGGGCACCACTGCCAGGGACAAGCCTAAGGGACACTGAACCTGCCTGTGGCTGCTGCCCCAGTGTGAGCTCTGGACACTCCTCAGAGGGAAGCACTGAGCAGGGAACAAACAGCCTGAGAGTTCAGTCACACAGGTTCAAATCCCAGCTTTACCTGACCAAGACACTTCTCTGGGTTTTACTATCATTAAAAACAACCCTACAGATGACACTGCTCCCTCTCAGTAAAATACTGCTCAGTTGGGGTTTTTTTTTGTTTACTTACAAGTGAACTGAGAATTATACTCTTCCTTCCCTCCCATTTCGTTCTTTTTTCAAGAGATACAATTTCAAAAGTTGGGTGCCAAAGTCTTCCTGTTGGTCTCTTCAGAAGCTGAGAACTGCTGGCACTAGCCCAGGAAAAGCAACAAAGAACAGGAGGAGTTTGGAGAGCAGCTAGACTTGCAAACCCCAGAGCACTGTAGAATAAACCCAACACAAAACAGAAAGATGATTGGCAGGGATGGGATGACTCTGCTGCTGGAAATGAAAGTGTTATGAATAATCAGGCACCTCTGACCCAGGAAAACATTGACTTCATTTGTGGCACAAAACCGACTGCAGATGGTATTTGGGGAGGGGAATTCAGCTATTCACTGTGCTTTCCCCTCACCAGAAAAATTCATTTCCTCCTGTACTGTTGAGCAATGAAATGCACCTGATTGGATCTGCTGAGACAGCTGCACATAGAAGATCTGGAATGAAAAATTAAAAGAGTCCATAGGGTTGATGCTAAAGGTAGTCCTATTAAAACAGTGAGCTGAGGGGGAAATGCACACATAACTCCTATTTTAATGAAGAATTAAAACAAATCCCTTAAAGGAACAAATTTATTTGGACATTTCTTTGAAATCCTAATGAGATTGTTGCTGAATTGGATGCTGGATGCCAGTGCATGAACAAGGACATTCCTCCCATTTGTTCCTATTACTGCTCACTTCTTCCTGCACTTCCACCTGGGGCTCTCAGCACTCCCTGCCCGCTGGGACACGTTTTCCATGGCCAGGATTCCAAGAGAGAAGGGAGAGCAGCAGCAAAGACCCATCCTTACTGCAGGCTGATGGCCCTGGGTGCTCCTTTCTACTGTGATCCACATTTTATTCCACTACTGGATAAATCCACGTTTATCCAAATGGGTTGAAGAAACATTTTTTCACCTGATTTACTGCAGAAATATTCTCAGCAAGAACTCAGGTTTCTTTTTCAGTTCGTGTCCTCACTTACAGCTCTGCCTGCTCCCACCTCTGCCATACCAGTTCCAGTGACATCTCTGCCCTGGGTTGTCAATAAACAAAAATGAAATTCATGCACTGAAAATGTAACCTGCCAAGACAAAAGGCTGTGCAGAAGTTAACAGCTGCACTCTTTACCAGACCAAAGATTAATCAACATGGACTTACATTTCTTAAAATGATGTTTTCATTAAGCAGGGTATTTTCCTTTATTTTCCTGAAGAAAATGCCTACAACCAAGATTTCAAACATATGTGCCTAAAATTAGGCTCCCAAATCAATAATTAAATCTTTAAGCAAATGGCCTGATCTTCTTCAGTGTTGATTACAAGTGACATAGCCCACCTTTGTTAGGAACTGAGGGATACAAGGCTCTTGGGAAAACAGGAATGAAAAAAGTCAGGCCCCTTCCTAGGGTACATGCTGGTAGAATTAAACAGGTAGCTTGAAGTCAGAACTTTCAAAAATTATTCTCTCCATCCTTTTATATCAGTTTCAAGCCTTCTGCCCAACCCATTTGATACTGAAAAGCAAATTATACCTGCATACATGAATGCATAAATTTATTTCTGAATTCAATTTAAAAGAATTTTTCACAATAATATAGAAAAATATTAACTATAGGAAAAGACCCACCAGGCTGTATGAGCAGATAAAGTCAGACCTTGGTGCCACAGTGTGAGCTGAGTCCTGGGCAGGTTGGGTTTGTTCATTGCACAGACCTGGTTTTAGGGACACAGGGTGTGCTTCCCAAGCCTGCCTCAGCTCTCTTGGCAAGGTCAGGCCTGCTGGGATACACCACATTCCAAATCTGGGCACTTCTAGCAAGGCATTTACAAAGCACCTTCCTACAATGGGATTTGACAGCATGTCCATTAATCTCTCCAATTACAACCATTTGACTCTTGCAGAGGATGTAGGCAATTTACATATTAATAACAAAACTGTTCAGAAACATGAAATTACATAAAGTGAGACCCACACAATTTTGATCAGCTACACAGCGTCAGGATCAAGAGCCTCCTCATATTAACCTTTGTTTCCTTTATAAGCCAAAAGCTTTCTAAGAACCTTTCCAAGGCTTTATTGGATTACAATGAGGGTAATTATAGCACTGAGATGAATCCAGTTGCTCTCTTGTAATGGAATACAGCCACTTGCAGCTACTTGAATGGCAGCTTGACTTGGCACACTGTTCTTTCATGGTTTTTTGCCTGTTCCAAGGGATGAGGTGACTGCTTCCCAGTCCCAGGCACCCTCACAGGCAGAATGTGTGAGGTTTGTCTAATCTGAGACTTCACTGGGATTTTGCCCTGATCATTTTTATAGAGACTGACGTGGCATTACCATAAGGCAGACATTAGCATGGTTTAATGTTACAGAGACAATACCATGGCTGGTGTCCAAACAGGTCACTGCACCTGGGTTTAAGTTATAAAAAGTTATAAAGACACACAGACACCTCAGGGCCTCTGTGCTTCTTTCCGATCTTCCTCGACGTAGAAAGATGTCAGGAGGAAAAAGCCTCCTCCAAAGACCCCAACAAAAGCACAGATGGCAAAGCTGTACTGCATGCTCCGGAAACTCCACTGCAACGACGGGATGTTCCTGGCCTGGATAGCGTTGGAGATCTGGGGAGGGAACAAGGCTGACATTAATCTGGAATAACACCTCCATCCTCTCCTGCTTTAAACAGCCTGTTTACAGTGTGGGGCTTGAAAAGAGTAAAAGAGGCAGACAGGGATGAGAGTCTGCTCCCAAAGTTTGTCAAACCCAGTACCAAGCACACCTGTACCCCACTGCTCTCCAGCTTCCAAATGGTTGAGGAATCTCGTTGTTTTACACCTTCAGTGTCTCCAGTCATGAGGGCAGGAAAGATATTTTACCATTTCCTAGCCCATCTCTAGATTGCCAGCACAGGATGGACAGTGACCTTTAGCATTTCTTGATCCCGTTCAGGAATTTTCCACCTCCCTTATTGGCATCCAGTGGATAGAAATGGGGTCAAGCAGCAATTCAGGCACAAGCAACACTCATAAGGCAGAGAAAAGATGGAAATTAACCTAAGAGTGGGGTCTGCTTTTGAGTGAAAAGGCACTTGAGGTGTTATGGAGTGACAGTGAGTAAGTGGAAGGAAGAAAATACCAGGCAGGTGCTTTTTGCACTGGTGGGAGAATGAGGTTGTAAAGGCTATAAATGATAAACTTTATTTTTGTAGACAGAAGGAAAATCTGATTTCCAGAAACTCAGTAAGATTCAACACTTAACCCAAGAACTTGTAATCTTTTTTTAGCATAAACAAAAAGATAAATGATGAAAGCAGTCATTTTTATTCCCACGTTTGTTCTTGATGGTTAGAATATACTGTGTGACTTGAAATGCATAAATACAAGACTCTTCAACCTTTGCTGGGTTTCTATGATTATTTATGACAGTTTAGGAAGATAAGAGGAAGATCAACTCTAAATGGGAACCTAGGGACTACAGCAAGCATAACAGCCACAATACAAACCTAATGCATTTAATTTTAAAATGCTTAGTGAAGAAAAATCTCTGGAGTGCAGAGGGAATGAAAACAGGCTCTGAAAAAGAAAATTCCCTCATTCTTCAGCCAGATTTTAAGCTAAAAGTTTGGCTGAAGCAGGGTAGGAAACACTATAAGGATATGAAAGCAGAAGATTTGGTGTTTAACCAACAGCAGTCATGGGAAGTGCTGGTGTATGGGTTCACAGAACATTCCAGAGGACAATGTGGGTGCTCAGTATACAGGAACCCACTTGGACACACAGCAGTTTTATTGCTGGGTTTATTGACTCTTTTCTGTGTGATGTTATATGGTTACCTGAGATTAATCTCATCTGGATAAGCTTTTTTTTTTGCCTTCACTCTTTTTGATGAGCTGCTCTTTAAGGTGAATTCTGCAGGTCCCACAGTGACTGGCAGGATGCAGCACAAGGCCTCAGCTCTGCCCATGCCCCAAAGAGGGCAAAGGACACAAACACAAAGTGGGTAAGAGGCACAAACAGTTTAATGTTTCAGGCAGAAAGCTCAAATCAATAGATTGGCCAAAAGGAGAATGAACAAGACATATTTCAGCTATTTTTTTTTCATATTTCAGCCCATTTTTGCATCCCATTTCAGCCATTTTCCACAGGGATGTTGGTGGTTGTGTCCCACACACACATCCAGTCAGGTAAGTGTGAGAGTCAGTTTCCTAACCCCAAAGAGCAAAGTGGTTTCTTCATTTGCCAAAAAAAGGAAGTCAGTAGGAGTAATCCCTCAGGGAGAGAGGCTCTCTTCTCTGCCAGACAGATTATACAGTTGAGACTGGGTTTCACCCAGTTGAGGACAAGGGGAACCTCCTGTGTGGCTGAGCCAGCAGCAGCTGTGCAGGCATAGCTCACTTGGGCATTGCTGGCCCTGTCTAACCCTGACACTGTCAACAAGGGGTAAACTTCTTTAAATAAACTCTCATACAAACAAAACTTTAAATCTACAACAAAGACTCAGTCTCCCATGTCAAGTAAAGCAGAAAACTCAAAACTGGGTGCTTTGTTGGCTACTGTGTCTTAAAATTAATGAAGGAAGGAGGTGAGACTGACAGATACAGAATTAATGAACTGCACAGAGACAGCAGTATGAGGCTGATTGTGCAGAAGCACCTAAGTTCAAGAAAATGTAGGAAGGGCAGAGAAGTTTGAGTAATTTCTGGTTTTGGACCAGGTAGTTTCTATGATTCTGTGAGTGCCTTTCAGTTTCTAGAAGTTTTACCCTAAGAAAAGCTCAGTAAGGAGAGAATTCACTTACAACTCCGATGAGGTATGGGCTGCCTGCATCTCCCAGCAAATGGCTCACCAAAATCTGCAGGGCGATGGCTGTGGACTGTCGCCTCGGTGTCACCACGTACTGAAACAAAGCACAGCCCACAGCAGAGGGAACATCAACACACAGAACTTCAGGAGTGCCCAGCTGCTTCTAGAATATCCCAGAGACATTGACAGAGCAACTGTTTACAACTTTGGAGACAGAAAAGTTATGCTGAGCAAAAACACAGCGTGTTTTGCTGAGGAAAAAAAATAAATCAAGAAAGGAAGACACAGGAGAAAGCCTAAACTGAGGGTGCACAGTCTACCCATATTTTTTTCGTCTCAGAACCTGCCTGGATGATGAGCATGCACACTTTGTGAACAGGCTCTGTTCACAAACAGAAACAAAAAAACTACAGTAGAAAAGTCTGAGCTGGGGAAGCAGACCTGGCTATGACAGACTGTACTAGACTGGAGACTGTCAGCTCTTGGCTCTCCGAGGTTTTTGTGTCATCTGTCCTAGACTCAAATTTCTTCTACAGATAATGACAGGCTCTGTTTGAGAAATGCAAATCAAATATTGTTATGCACTTAATATATCATGGGCATTGCAAGCATGGGAAAAGCTAAATGTACTTTGGTTCTCCCAGTGCCTTGCACCACTTCCTTATTACCTTTATTTAATAACCCATATCTGCAATTACAAGAGACAGAGCAAAACTGTAACAAGAAAAATACAGGAGGACAGGATGTTTCCTATAGTTTCAGGGCTCATACAAACCCTGTCTGTGCTATTACTCAGGTTCTTCTGCACAACAGAAACTGAGCTCAAGAGCTCAAGGTACTGTGGTATTCACTAGGAAAAGAAGAAACAAAAGGCACCTTCCCACAGGGACTCTGAAGTAGCCATGAGGTCCTGCCTGGCCACAGTGAGCCCAGGACCCCACACCATGGCAGGAGTGGAGATGACATGCTGAGCACTCCTCCTCTGAGGAGATCCAGCCCAGATGCCTGGACAGAGAAGCAGATGCCCCAAACAGGTAGAGTTTGCAGATCCCTCGTGCTGCCTCTGGAGGTTTCTCTCTTCAGAGACTCCCCTGCAGACTCTGCCACAGAGCTGTCAGCTAGAAAAACAGATGGAACACACAGGCTGGAGAACACTCCTGTACCTTCCAGGGCACTTCCAAACACAGGGACATGTTGGTAGCCTTCCCAAACCCCTCCAGTTCCAGCATCTCCTACACTATTAGCTGCCAAAACCCTAAAAGACAGAGTTCCACAACCTCACAGATGCCAAACATTTTTCATAAGGAATACTCCAAGTACAGCTCCTGGTAAACCAGCAATGCAGCTACAGCACTTCTCCACCTGCACATTAGGACTGTAGTTGTACAGCAGATACCTTTGTGTTTACACTGAATAGGAGGCACAAAGGTGGCTACATGCAATGCCTCTTGATGCACCAGCCACAAAGGGAGGGAGTCCTTATCATTCAGTCAGCATCTTCCTTTGTCTTCAGCTCCACAGGTCGCAGGAGAAATTAATTCCTAGCTACATTGTCTGGCTAGTAGTGCCATGTGGGAAGAAAGAAAAGTCATTTTCATGGCAAAATAAGAGCATGCATTAGCAAATCCAGCTACATTATCAGAAATCCTACCAGATCACATAGGAAATGAGGCAGAAAGCTAAATTACTGCTGTTATCTATGGCACCCTTCAGTCAATATAACAGCAGTAATACACTGAACTCATGGGGCTTCAGCTGGATGAAACACAACTCCCAAGTAAGATTGCCACTGAATGAGCAGACATCTACAAATTCAGCTCAATTCCATCATTTTTCTGATAAAACAATTAGTTGCATTTAGAATTCAAGAGATCCAACCCAAAGCACATCAGTAGTAATAACTTTATGTCTGTTCCCAGGAGAACACAGCACCACAGAGCTCTGCTATGCCAAATCTTGATGTCAATTGATACAATATTGCTGGTAACCACAATATCATAAAAGAAATGGAAATTAGGAATGTTGGTCACCTGGGAGACAAGAACTTCCTTCTCTTCTACATTTGCATGGATCTAGGATATGGCAATGATGTTCCCCACAGATTTCCTGTGGACTGCAGTGTGATGCAGCGTTCCCTAAGAAAGCTGAGCCTGGAGTGATGGAACTGAACAAAAGCCCTGTTCCTCACAGGCTTTGCAGTTTGGACTGAGGAAGGAATTGAAAGAAAGAGCTGACAGTAACCATCTGCCTCATTCTCCTCACCATGTATCACCGTTACCTAACTCAGTGATGTCACCTTCCTCTTTAACAGAGGACAGAATTAAAATGCAGATGTAAGAGTTCAAAGAGAAGTAAATTGAAAAACTGAAAAAGAATTGGTGCCTCAATTCATGTAAAAAGAATGGCAATGGTATTTATAATTGCTTCTGGTGCAAAGAACCCAAATTATTTCAAAATAAATAGAAGATAAGTAAAAATGCCAGTCTGGACCAGTGATAGTTTTTCTGCACCTGTCCACTGCAGCAAGACTTCAACTCTTTTCTTATAGGATAGTTGTTTCTGACCATTCTGTGAGAATCAAATAAGAATCAAAACCCTCTTGGCTGCTGGCTGAGATTTTAAGCAAGCAGCCAATTGACTAATGCTGACTGCATTATTTACTATTATATTAAAATTCCAGAGTGCAGAAACCTGACATGTAGAGAGCAGCACCGTGAAAGAGAACATAATGCACAGTCAGTGTCAGCAGGACTTTGCTGAAGACCCATGAAATGTCAGTAGCTCCATTCCTTCATCCCAATTAGGATGTAAAGAAAGTTTCTTCAGCTATGAAATAGAAAGATAAACAGACTCCTATTAAGGCAAGGTCAGGCAGTGGAAGGAGAATTCAGTAGTGCTTCACAGCTGGTCCCTTTGGTCACCAGAGAGTGCTCAGCATTTGGCAATACACTTTCTCATCCTTTTACACAGACACGGTAATAGGGATACTTTTATCTCTGCTCAGCTTGTCCACTACTTGGGTTTAGTTAGCCAGTAGAGATACAAGCAAATTGTGTATCTGAGCAACTCAGACCACAGTGCCAGTGACCTCAGGGGTAAACTTGCAGTTGCTGTGATAGCAAGGGACGGTGACCTGTGTCCCACTGGAGCCACAGGCTGCAAGGTTTTATTCCTGTCCTTCCTGTGAACTGCTATTGTGCAGTGCTACATGTTGTGCTACACATGAATGCACTCACTGTGGTTCTTAAATGAAAGATTTATTATGAGTGTGGAGTTTGCAGGAGCAATCTTCAAATAGATTTCAGCTCCCTTGGAATGAAACACTATTACATAAAATGGGAAACACTCATGTGACTCTTGCTTGGGAAGAAACAGTCAAAGATCTCTGTTCTGCTGTCCCTTAACTTTGTGCCTTCTCTCACTTCTCCTGATGGCTTTACACAATTTCCCCACTTTCAGTGCCATCTGCAGCACTATTGTACCTGTACCACACTTGTCTGAACAGTCCCTGTCAAGCAGGAGCTTTCTGCTTGAAATATTTGGGTTACCATCACATCCACAGTTTTTCAGCACAGGGATCCCAAAGCAGAGAGTTTGGGTCCCTTGGGTGATCCAGTACTCTACTCCTCATAAAAAAGGGTAGTGTCAATTTAAATATTTTGTCTTATGCCCACGGGTAGCAACAAAAGAATTGTCAATCATATAAATAACTTTGGTATTTAAAACAGCTTTCTGCAGCCTATTAGATATGAGCATTTCTTTGCTTATTGCACTGACAAACCATATTCAACTTGTTCATATTATGGATTATATAAAAGAAAGGTTATTTAAACTAGATGATAAGACTATAATGATCTGTGTAGTTCAGTGGTCATAGTATCTGCCCCAGGGTTTACACAGACATCTATTAGTGACTGTGGAGCTACAACCCAAATGAAAGGTTGCCAAATTTTTATTTAGAGTAAAAACTCAAGTAAAATTACTAACTCCAAAAACCTTTGAAATGATAAAAAGAGGCTGCTCATCACAGTCTAGAAAAACTGGGCTACAAGATGTGTGCTTTTCACATCACTCCTTTCTAAAGAAATTACTGATGACAGAATCCAAATGAAATAATGCATTGCTATTCCTTGGCTTGTGGTGTCCTGGAATTCCCAAGAGCCCCTTAAACATCACTGCTGGCCTGATGCTCTGGCACTGTAGGAGCACTTATGAATTGGACTTGCAAGAGCTGGAATTCATCTGCACTGAGTTCTGAACTAAGGGAACTTGCTAATAGTTCATGGACTATCAATTTTGCCTCATTTGGATCATCCTTTCAAACCTCTGGAAAACAAATAGAAAACCTGATTATAGACACAAAATGACCTTGTTTCTGGTGCAGGTCATTTTCTAGCAGATATCTGACACACAGAGCTGTAGAGAAGCCCAAAACACCTGGTACAGGCAGCACTAGAGAGTATCATGTGCATGAGTTCCATCCAAATCAGGATATCTTCCTGGGATTATAATAACTTGGACTACTGCACCACTGCACCTTATTGCCACTGGCATCCTTGCCTAGCAGTACATTGTTTCCAAGCAGGATAAGCTTGAGAGAGAATCCACCAATAAGGAGATTCTCTGTAGGAGCTGGTTCACCAGAAAGCCACCAGGCTTAGGAACAACATTACATTGACAAAACACTTGAAATAAGGAAATAGTTTCATGAGCACTTACCAGCAGTATGTCTGTCACAACAGCCCAATTTACAGACAAAAACAGTTCTCCAAATGCAATAAAAATCTGCAAAACAGAAAAAAGCAATGACTATGCTATGCTATGCTATACTGTACTATACTATACTATAGGGTTCATTTAGAGAGAGAACTTCTAAAATGGAATGGACTCCAGGGAACAGCCAGTCTCAAAACCTTGCTGTCCTGTGGGAAATCCCTAATCCATCACAGATGGAGATCCAGCCATGAGGAAAAGGGGTATGGCACTGAACAGTTCTTACAGCTGTGGTCTCAGAAAATATTAACCCTTTCAGCCAGCTCTGGACAGCAGATTGAAGTGGCCTGCCTAGACTAAGTGAGACTTGAGGAAAGCATTAAAGTTACACCATTGAGGTGGAACAGTGCTAGAAAGCAGAATCTCTTCAGAAACACAGGCCACAAAGTCACATGGCACATTATTCTTATCAACTGATTAAACTGATGGCACATTGTTACAACAGGTGCCAGCATTGTGTTTGGTAAGGTCTTGGTCAAGATATTGTCCCTGGTTGATGAAAACACAGTCTAGGAAAGGCACAGTGACAAACTCATGTTTTTGGGAGGGTGGCTTACATTCTCCAGAGGAGAACTAGATCTAGTATACCTAGAGTACCTATAAATATCCTGTAGGTAACAGATATAGATAATAGAACTAGGATATCCATACATCCTGTGGTTTTTGTTTGTTCTGTTCTGTTCATTTGTTTTCCTCTCCAAACCAGTTTGGGGAAAAAAAGTTCCTTGAAGCACTGAGATAGTATAGACCATTATCCAGATATCTTTTCCTTCACAATGCTTTAGATTAGATATAAGGAAGAAATTCTTCCCTGTGAGGGTGCTGAGGCCCTGGCACAGGATGCCCAAAGAATGGATGGGGCTGCCCCATCCCTGGAAGTGTTCAAGGCCAGGTTGAACAGGGCTTAGAGCAACCTGGAATAGTAGAAGGTGGCACTTTTAGTAGAAGGAGTGGAACTGGATGAGCTTTAATATCCCTTCCAACCCAAAATTCTGGTTCTGTGATTCTGTGATTCTAATAAAAGGTATATTTTGGTAGTTCCAAACAAATATATTGATTCACTTGTCTAATGCAGACTGGCAAATTAAACTGTTATTCTCTACCTTTAATGACAAAAAATTAATTAATTAATTAATTCCCCTGAGGAACACACTAAGAGTGGAGCTTTCTGGGATTCTGAGAAGCAGAAAAAGACAATGGCTAATTCTTCTGAGCACTCAGATTCCCACTCTTGGATCCAAAAATAATCTTCAATTTCACATTTTGCTTTGTGTACACACACTCAGACAGGCAAATCCACTTGTGTTTTCTCTTGGTGTAAGGGTGTTTTTCCACAGGAATACACGTTCCTGAGGAGTCAGAAGGAAAACCTCTTTGAACAAGCATTATTCTTAGAAGCAAAAGACTTGGAAAAGTGCCCTTTTGCAGAGAACTGTTGATTACTGTAATTTACTTTACTTGGATCCTCTTATTTATGTTAATCATAGTGATTTTGGCTGTGGAGTCACAGGAAAAAAACACTGGAGTCTTTCCCTAGCTGTTACCAGACTATAGCTGAAATAGGGTTTACATTCGGTTCCCTCTTACAGGGATTTTTCTTTCATTCCTAGTAAGTTTCTGTTTTCCCCTTTACTGAGAATGGAATTTAAGTGATTTTTACTTCAGTTTGCATTGCCAAAAGCTTGACTTTGAAGATCAGCTAGTGATCTAAGGCTTTGAAGGTGAGGGCTAAATTATTCTTAGCAAGAACAGTGTATATTGTACAGTCCAAACCACACCAACCTTTAAGAATTCAGAGAGCAAAAATAAATAAGAATACTAAATTAGCCACAAAGTATTAAAAATTAACATAAGATTGAGACTTGCTTTAACTACATTTTTGCATAAGGGACATGTTTCAATGCAGCTGAATGCAGAGTTACTGTTCTCCTGTTCAATGTGGGCACTCTGCAGGACCTGAGGCACCGTTTTTGTGCTCTGACTGCCCTTTCTGCTGTACCAAGGACTGCCCAGTGTGGCTCTCACAGGTTAGACCTCAGCTATGGGAGCATCAGAGCCCAGAGCTTACCTGGATACCTTGTCACAAGTCACTGAAACCTCTTAATGGTTTAGAAGACCACAGAGAATTCTGCAAAAGCCACCCCTCACCTCCTCCTCCTTCCCATTCTCCCTAGGATGCCAAAAGACATTTTGCTAATTGTCACTTACAAAAGTGGAAAGGATGTTTGTCTGGGCCACCATCAGAGCTATGTAGAGGCACAGGGCAGAAATGAACATGCTTGTGGCACAGATCAGAGGATCAGCTTTGTTGTTTCTCTTCCTTAATCGTCTCGCAGCTTCTGCCCCAGCAATAATACCCAAAATTCCTGTCCCAATGGTGATGCCTCCAAATATTAGGCTGGTGACAAAGCAAAGGATTCAGCTGAGCATAGTAAGACTGTACTGTGGAAAAATAAATGGTGTTAGCTTGTAGCTGTAGTTTCAGAAGGACCTTTAATGGGGAAGTTGAGTTTTATTGCATTTGATGTAACCCTCCCATTCCTTCTGAATGGATGCAATCCCAAGCCCCAGCTGAAGCTATGGCTTTGTGATGGGGGCTGTATCCCGTGGAGAAGATATTTTCCCATTTACAGAGCAGGTGTTATGCACCCAGGCTCAAGGAGGGCTCTGCTCAGTGTGATCTGGACATGGTGTGATTTAGAGGAGACACAGTCATCGTGGTTACCCTGTGAATCAATCTACCCAGTCATCCCTGAAACACAGATGGAGTAACCCTGTATCACAATCTGCTGCCTTGGAAGAGATCCTAGCACATGGAATGAAACACATCTAAATTACAACCCTCTGGTTAGCACAGCTGAGATGAATCACTTCTCTGAATATGGGAAGCACCTACCACTTCCCAGAAGAGTTCACAGAATACTGAATAGGTAACTACTGCCAGGTCCATGTAGAATTTTCTGAATACAGAGTTTCCAATACCATTCAGCTTTGTGTGTCTCCAAATGCAAATGTGTTCTTCAGGAACCACAAGTTCATGTTTTAAAAGAACGTGTCTGAATAGTTCAGAATATTCAGCTTCCAAAGGGACTTCCATGTGTGCTTTCATCTCTGTCCCAATGAGACCCCCACAATGACAAAGCAAGTCTCTCACACAAGATCAGTGGTGCCACTGCATCATAATTCTCTGAAGGCAAACAGGGTCAGGACCAATGTATTCTGAGCACAAGCACTTCTGAATACTTGACATGGTAAGTTCTGTACATTTTCCTGAGCTTTTTCTAACTGCAAAGTAACCAGCTGGGTTATGATCTGTTCCTTTAAACTACAGCACATTCACTTCTTAATTTCTTTCTGGCTGATTAGGAAGAACTCAATAATTCTGCAAGAAAAAAAAAAAGGTATTACTATGCTAGATAACAAACTTCAAGCAAATTTGTACTCTCCCTGCAAGTTCTTCAGGATTCTGATCCATCACTGACTATAGCTCGATAGTGACATTATAGATTGTCACTAGGCAGAGATTTCTTCAAGAGAGGCAAGTTCCAAGGTGACATTAGCTGATCGAAGCATTCATGGATTTGTGTTTAGAATATTCATGTACTGTAAACTGTAGTTGAAATAAACCTGCAGCTGGAATAAAAGAGAATGGCCAAAACTAAATCCAAGCACAGTTCAGTTGATACTAGGAAAGTACAGAAGCCTAGTAGTGGGGAAAGGCTCCTATGAGATCTTTTAGGGCCTGAGAACGCTCACTTATCGCTCAGATCTGTTCAAAAGTGTTTGCACAAAGGCCTGAACAAAAACTCCACATTGCATATTTATCTTCCTTGAAAGGATTGAGACTTGAGTCAGTTGTGGTGCCATTTGAGTCTGTGTTTCCAAGGAGTGTAAGTGATACAGTCCTGATCCTTAAACAAAATCTGAAACTGCTGAACAGCCAGAGGGGAAAACATCTTTAAAGTATCCCTGGGTAGGTTTGGCAATGTGCATCTCAGTTCCTCCAGCACCATCAGGTCTGACATAATAGTTTATATTCTGTTTCTTTACATCCCCTTGGAATAACAGTCCAAAACCAGCCTTCTGCTGCTTCTGGCATGAGCTTATGCCAAGGTTATATTTAAAGCATCCTATAAGAAGCAGTACATGAGGTTAAACTATCAGATGCTCTGTTTCACTTCCCTGAAGACCATGTCTGCTCTAACAACACTGTAGTGGAATAATAATTCAGAAGTGGATTAGAAAACAAACTAGAGGCCAACACCTTCAGCTTAACAAAAAAGGTACTTAAACTGCTTCTATGAACAGATACAGCCAAACATCTTAAACTCTTCAATTTCCCTCACCTGCCTACCCTGAGCCAGACTCCTGTGTTTCACTCCCTTCCCACTAATGTTCAATGATAAGTAATGTGCCACTGGTGGCATCCAATTCATTTCCCATTGAAGGATTTTGGGATGACTCTTCAATCAATTTGATTTTGCTGCAACTCAGAAATCACTTCTGAGTTGACTCAGTTATCCCATTGCAGAAAAACAGAAAAATCCCATTAGCAGAGGACACATTCAAGGTGTGATTACTGTTCTTCCCTTTAATTGCCTTTACCTGGAAAGGCCACGCAGTAAGCACTGAGTTCTTTGAAATCCATTGCAAAAGCAGAGACTGAAACAAGACTTGGGATACTTCCCAGACAAAGGGATACTTGTATGGAGACCACTGACAGGGAGTCAGCCCCAGTGCTCACTGTTACTGAGGGAAGCCATGAAGACTCAAGGGGAATATTGAATACGTATTTGTATTCTGGACAACACACTGTGAAGAAAAAACTCTTCCTTGGTGGGGAAAAGGGACCTACAAAAAGGTGTGTTATGATTACTTCAGAGTGTTCTACTAGTGTAAATTCCTCTTCTTATATAATATTTGATACTATTCATGAATCTTCTTTGGTCTGGACATGTTCTGTGGCTGGCAGCTATTCACAAGATCCTGGTTTGATGTGATGATATAATACTACATCAAAATCATCAAGCTTTCTTCAAGCTGGGAGCCACAATGAACTCATCAACATGGCGGGGATTATAAAACCAGAATAAGAAGATAATAGACAAGTTATTAAAACACAGGATTTGAATATACTTAAATGGGATTTAAGTAGCTTGTCAACTAAAACTCCTTGCTAAAGCTGCTCCTTTTTCCCCGTAAGTGTTGCTATTACTACTTCTTCTCACTGTACTTAAATAGGGCTGACAGCACCTTTCCAGTTAACTGAGTGATTATAAACAAACTAACAAAGGGGAGTGTCTGAGATACCTGGGAGCAATTTAACATTCACACCCCACTGCCTTCACAAGAAGTGCTCAGTCACATCCTCCCTTCCCCCTTTGGAGCTGTGATTGAGCCCTGTGCAGTGTTTGCAGGTATCCTCCCACAGGCACAGCTCACCTGTTGGATGAACTGCACGATTCTTGGAGACATGGTGGGACAATGCCCTGGACAACCTGAGCCCTGTACAGAAACAGTGGCATCCACATTCCCAGGGCTCCAGTGACAAAGGCCATGGCAGTCAGACCCAGCGAGGAACAGACAAAACTACAGCTGAAAGACAAAAGAAAACAACTGAGAGATATTAGAAAGAATGGTGTTTGAGGAAAAAGGGAAAATCTACCTGCAACAACCAGAATTTCAAGCAATAACAAAACAATTCATTCAGACATCTTGTAATCAAAATCCGCTCCCTTGAATATCTGAACTCTGATCAGGCTTTATTATGAAAGGCAACAATAAAATACTAATTAGAGCAAAGGGTATGACCTACTGATTTCATGTTAAATCCTGGTCTCTTGCAGTTTTCATGCCAACTTCTGACAAAACAATTGCTGTGATTTTTTTGATAGCAGAAGTATAACAATAGAGAGTGAGCAAGAATTTAATGGCTTAGTAGTTAAAGGAAAGGGTTCTATGTGCAAGTCTAAATGTCTCAGGGTTTTCTATAACCAATATAAATGAGAATAACGTCTGGGTCTTTTGAACTGTTAAGTTTCAGTGGCTGAAGCACTCCTTAACTCTGAGTAAGTAAAATTAGACTCAATCTCCACAGCAAGTTTCAGACAAAAGGAGAAGCATTTTTGAAAACTGTCCAAACCTTGTGTCCTTCCTGCCCTATTCTAGGAGAAAATCAAATTTTTTGCCATACTCTTTGTCATTAATAGTTCAGGAGAAAAACCCCTCTGAGGTCAAGAGGGATGTATGAAATCTTAAGACTGCTGCAAATGATCAGGTGACCACCAAATCAGAGAATTTGTTAAGAAATGAACCTAATTCTCCATTTTCTAAAGATAAAGTGCTCTTGGACTTGATTAAAAGTGGAACCACATAGTTTATTGTCAGTGTGTCTTTACGCTTTGGAAATCAATTGCCCAAGGAAAAGAAAATGGGAATCAGTTGCTAAAGGAAAAGAAAATGAAAAAATATTTTTACACTGGAACATCTCTGTAGGAAAGCAACTTTGGAGACAGTTTTGCTGAAATGTCAGAAAGGCTCATTTTTGATTCAGGAAGTTTTTTATTATTCACTTCAGTATATAGCGCCTACAAATCGTGATCCTACAAAACCGATCTCTTGTGTACCTGCTGTTCAGGATGCAAAGGAAGCAGATTTAGCGGGCAGGTAGAAAACGTCTGGAAGAACGCTCCAAAGACAAACAAGGTCCCAGGAAAGCAAGTGTTTAAAGGAAAAGGATGGGGAAAGCAGCCTGCGGGCAGCGGCAGCGCGGAGCCGGCTCTGGCGCAGCTGCACAGCGGCACCTGCTGTTCCCAAAGCCCGCTCCAGTCCGCATTTCACTTCGTCCTTCATTTCTGTGTGCTTAAAAAGATGTTATCTGCCAGCCAAAGCTCAGCCCATCCAAACACATGGACAATTACTTTATAAACCATATTGGGGTCCCACAAACTCTGACCTCGTGCACAGCAGGCTCCCAAATACCACAGAGTGCCTGAGACATGCTAATCCAACTTTCCACAGGCACTAAGAATTATAAATAAATTTACACCAGAAAATTATGCAGTTTTAGTAATTTAGCTTCCATAGGGAAGGGAAAATTTAGTAGAAAGTAGAGCTATGGATTTTAATAGGAGCAAACTGCCATCATAACTTTACCCTCCTCCTCCTTCTCAAAATGGGAGAATAGAAGAATCAAAGAAATTTTTTATCTCTTTTGTAGCATTCCTGTAAAAAAGTAGAAGAAAGATTTTTATTCATGGTGTTTCCATTCTCTTGCATACAGCATGTGGCTCAAAGGAGCTAGGCAGGATTCAATGGACATATTTCTTCTAATGGAATGGTGACTCCTCAACAGAGAGAACCTTTGTAGCTCAGACCACTTACTTCTTGACAAGTGATCCCACATCCTGACACCAAGTGGTCTTGGCAGTTCTGTGTACATCTGGCTTCTCATCTGCTCTGTATATCGTGCTAGAGATGCTCCTTGCTCTGTGTGCTGCTGCCTTTCTCTGGATCCTGTGAGGGACCACTAAAATCAGGAGAAGCAGTGCCAGTCCTCCCATGCAAGGAGTTACCTGTAGACACAAGGGTGGTTAGATCAAAGATAACTGTTTTCTTATAGTGAAGCAATTCTAATTGCATTAGAACCACTATCAGAAAATTGCAGATATATTCAGAAATAAATGTATGCTGGATTTGGCCATATTTGTAAAGAAAAAGAGTGACTTTGGTGACTTTGCAGGACATACATGATCACTCTTCCCTCTGATTTTAAAGAAAAACTTGTGAAGAAAGAAAACTGTGCTGTAGTATTCTAGCCACAAACATAAGAATCACTGATGCAGTCACCAGTGTTACCTGAATAATATCAGTGCTACTCCAGTAAATATTCTGCCCCACTCACCTGCATTTGCTAGGTGATTTTGTATGCAAGGCAAGAGGCTCTAACAAAGTATTTAAAAAGCACTGGGTGCATCATGATGACCAGAACAGAACAGAAAACTGGTGCTACCAGTATAATGACCATTTAACCTTCAAATTCCTCTGTTTGAGGAGGTCTTGGTGCAGTGACAACCATTCCAAATGTGCCCTCAGGTAAGAGGAACATCAGCACCTGCCCTGGCTGCTGTACAGTTTCACCTACACCTATCAGAGCTAGGCAGAAATGTGCCACTTGTCCTGCAGGAAAACTTCTCCTAAACATCACATTCCTGACCTGTCAGAGGGTAGGAAGTCCTTCCACTGCTCACCTTCAACACAATGAACATAAAGAATCCAAACCCCAGTGATGATTTTGATGTTAGAGTGAATGAAAGTGAGACTCACCCTGAAGGCCCAGTGCCAGTCACCTGTGCTTTCTGCCATGCCAGCTGCCAGCATATAACCACAACCACTGTAAACAACAGAAAGGAATGATCAGTAAGCACCAGTGAATTTTGGGTGGCTGAAATGACATGTCTGGCCAGCTAAGGAGAACACACAGAAGTGTTCTGTCTCAGTTTTTTCTCTTATTTCTTAGAGAAATTACCCTCATGGTCTGTGCTAGTCTGCTTGCCAACCAGTATTAAAAAGAGAGTCTAACTTCCTCAGAGCAGACTTGAGATGATGACAGTAATGTCCCAGATTCCCCTTGGAATACATATTCTGTAGAATGACACTGCAAACTCGGATCAAAGAGCCCATAAAACATTTTATTACCTACTCCCTTCTGTGCTAGCCACAGGAATTATGCCCTGCAGGAATTTCTTTAGTTTTAATCTGCCTTCTGGGCCCAGTCTAGGCTGCCTGCTCTGATACAGAGTATGCCTCTAAACCATTTGAAAAGCTCTTCTCCACCTTTTCTTCAGACACAATGTCAATTTAACTAAGAGAGGAGAGGGGAGTGCAGCTCTTCCTTGGGAGATATTTAATGGAGGCTTCTTGAAAAATCTGTCAAATAAACTAATATCTAAAAGCTTTTGTCTTCCAAAACACAGAAATAAATTACATACTCTTATGCACATGTTTTTTTTAGCATTCAATATTTTATTCAAAGCCAGAGTTTCCAGAATCTAGATTCTCCTTAAAAATGTTAGGGGGAAAAAGTAATTTTTTTTTAAGGTAAGTAGAGAAATACACCTAATCAGCTCTATTCAAACTTGCTGAGGAAGTGACAAATCCCTTTGCAAGAGCCAATGTAGAAATACATCAAAATAAATCTGATTAGGGCTCAGGGTATATTGAATTGCAGGTGTGGTCAGAAATTTCAAAAGGCCACTGTAAGAAAACCAACCTTCCCACTGGAATGAAGATGTAGAAGATAGATAACACTGTGGTCCTTTTTCCTTCCTCAAACAGGTCTGCAATGATGGTGGGTGCTATAGTGGAGTAACTGGCAGAGCCAATGCCAACCAGTCCTCGTGAAAGAACAAATATCTTGTAATGCTGCAGGGAAAAGACATAGTCAAAAGACATCCATGCAAGAAAGAAAGCTTGCTGTTAAAGAGGGGAATTTTAGTGGATGAAATCTACCAGATGAAATCAGAATTGAACTGCCTTTTGCCTTTGTCTGTATTTCCTCCACTCACACCTGCTCCCCTCACATCTCACTGCTCAGCTTTTTCTGCACAGCAGTGACTTCTCAGAGTGACACCCAGAGGGAATTTCAAGACAGGGTGGATAGAGCACATGTAAATCAACAAACCAAAAATAAAATCCCATCAGTTGCAACAATAATGTGTGGGTTCTCTATTGCCTAGGCTGGACTCCAGTGTCCTATATGGCATTCCTGCATGGAGTATATTTAGTCCAGGATTAAGGCTTGGGAAATGAGTGGTTACTGATGCCTTCCCAAATGTGAGTAGAGAAGGACTCTATAAAGTCCTGCAAGTTGTATGCAGATTATTTTCATAGCACCCTCTAAAAAAGCAACATACCGACTCAGTGATGAATGAGCTCCCTAAGGTCACACCAGACCAGAAGAAAATACCAGCTCCAAGGATGATTTTCCTGTTGTAGCGATCTCCAAGGTACCCAAAGATGGGGGCAGCCAGCATGTAACACAAAGTGAAGACTGAAAATCCAACAATGAATAAAGACAATATTAGTCCAATTATTTTTGTCATATGTACTGCTCACCCCTCAGATAAACTCAGGTTATTTTTAGGGCAGGGATTAAAGGCAGGCTGAGTTTGTAGGACTAGGAGGGGAATTGATATTTGGAAAAAGACAAATACAGACTCAAATTATCTATACAATAATAAAATGTGTGTGAATTACTCAACTTCTGTACTCCTTGAAAAATCATTTGTTTCCTGATTCACAAACCGTGGGATTTTTGAAGGACCTGACTGGAGTCTGACTTTCAGTTTTGCATAGTGGTCAGCCTGCCCACAAGTGGAAGTGAGCAATACCACATACAAGGAGGAACTAGAAGAGGTAAGTAACTGGACTGTGTTTTAGGAGCAGACCACAGAGGGGTAAGGCAAAGCCAACTGTCTGAACTGAGGACATTTTCTTACCTGTTTGCAGCAGACCTGTCTTCCCATCGCTAAGCCCGAAGTATTTCTGTATATCCAACAGGATCCCTGCAACAGAGGCAGACATTCAACAGCAGCAAAGTACCCTGCTCAGCCCTGCTAACTGCCAACTCACAAACAGGGCATGCAAGAACTGCAGTGCATTTAGTTTTTAGTTTAGGTGTAAGCCTTACTCTACCACAAGATGTACAGAATATTAAAAATTCTTATCGCTATAGATAAAATTAATGATCTTCCACCATAAGGGTTTTACAAGAGTCAGTTTACACATCTGTTCTGCTTCTTTTGCACCATTAGCACCTAAGTACATGAACAATTTACAGTTCAAAGCTTAATGGACACAATGTGGAACAAAACGGTGGATGTTAAGACAAAAAGGTCATTTTTTTCTCTATACCATGCCAGAGCTGCAGATCTTCCTCTCATCTATCTTGTATTTACAATTTACACTGCTGAAAACCAATTAAAAATAGAAGATACTACTTTGAAAAAAACATACCTGTACTCCAGTGTTGAAAGGTATCAATTAAAAAAGACATTTACTTCTCATGCCACTTCAGTTTTGCCAAAATAGATAAAGTCATAACATTGTTAACAGGGTGAAACCACCACCATGTAAGAGAACAAGTTATGTGTAATTTCCCTGCTGTGCTCACAGGAGCTCATCTGGAGCAGAAGGGAGTGGGTGAGGTCAGCAAGAGGCAGCTCTTCTCCCAGTTTTACATGTTATGCTATGAACTACACTGCTCCAGCCACTCAAAAGCAATGTGGGATCAGCTAATTTAAAGGTAAATCCATGTTCTCCCACAGTCCCCATGGCTGCAGCATCAGTCCACTCACTATTTACTGATGTGACTTCAAGTCACTGTAGATCAAGGTCCAGCCTAACAGCAGCTCCAGAGGTTTACAGTTGTTCTTCAATGATTCTTGAACATATTTTATATTTTGGCGTTTCCTAATGGTTTCAAAAGTTTAAACAAATTATTTAATTCAAACATTTTGCATCATTAAAACAGGACAGTCAATTGTATCCTTCCTTTCTGGCAGCCAGTGATCAGTGCTCAGAAATACTGTATATTACAGGAATTCAGGTTTGGTCTCACAGAGTATTTAGAACAAATCAGAGCTAACAAGACTTGAACAGAACCACAACTTCATCTCAAACTAACATTCCATTAAAATATCATCCCCTCCACCTAACTAAAATAACTGACCCTGCTATTTCCTGGCAAATTACAAAGCATTGATTTGAACAGCTTGGTGGACAGAAAAGAGGGGAAAGGTCTGCATGGACACCAGTTTCAACAAACTGAAATCAGCAGACAATTAAGGGGAACTTGTTTTCTGTGATGCAAACGCTGTCAAAGCCTGTGAACAAAACTATCCGGAAACCACAACTTTGTAACTGCTGCCAGTTTACTTCTAAGGAGATACTCACACCTCCCCTTCCTCCCTTTCCTGTTAGCTGGTATCTGACAACATGGTCATACACTTGGACAGCCAAACTCAAATGCACTTTTGCAAGAATTTTGCAGTGGCACTGAATTCTAGCAGGTGAACAGTGTATTGCTGTGGTATAAACGGCAGCTTACAGATTTCCCCCATGGCCCAGGGGTCATAGAACTAAGTAAAAAGTGCTTTAGTCATATAGTATAATTAAAGGAGATGTTTCAAAGGCCTGGACACTATTCCTGCCTCTGTTCTTGAATTCTTGTCCCTGAAGGTACTCATAGGAGCATGCTGGGAAAATTTTAAGCTCTTAGTGGGTTCAGAAGTCCCTGAATAGTTCAAAGCCTGGAATGAGCCAAATGGCTTCTTGATCTTAACCCTCCCAAGAGGATACCTTTCTAGTATCCAAGCTCTTCCTTGATGATGTTTTCATCCTCTTCTGTCCCCTGCCCTTCTCCAAGGAAAGTTACTTGACAACAGAAGGCATACACAGAATTTTTTCACTGACAGCCTTGCAGAGTCATTCAGCAAGAACTCCTACTGCACTCCTACTTGCTTCCTTCCCTCTTGTGTTGTTAAAAGGTACTCAAAAAACCAAGCTCAAACTCCTAAACCCACTACAGTCTCCATTTTTAAAGATACTGACTGAATGTCCTAAATTTCTGAATGGTCTAAGTAGCAAAATAATCACTTTGTGTACTGTAACTATCTGTATTAATTCCAAATTTAATAATACATCCTTTAATTTTTTTCAAGGTTTTAAAACATTTCTGTTTCTCAGGCCTCATATTTTACTCAGAAGTAAATTACAGCAAGCTCACATGTGCCTCCCCTGTTTTCTAAGTCAGATCCCTGGAAGCATGGTAGATGCTTAGGAGTAATACTAAATAGAAGAATTTACACAGACCACAATTTATATGGGAGAAAAACCCCATAGTTTCCCTCCAGTTTACTCTAAGCTACTCTTGGTTGTTTTCAGCTAGGGAAAAAAATCATTAAAAATCATATTTTGGAGGAAGGACATTATTTATTAGATAACAAGTCATAATTTGGGTAGGGGAAGGCTTAAGGAAGTGAATCTCTGTTCTTTTTCCACAATCATGTTCCACTATTCATTGCAGAAATCACACTACTGCTGGCAGCTCACAAGGAAGTTCAGCCTCCCCACAGCAAATTAACATGGATAACTAAGTTATCACAAAGATGATATAGTTTTTGAACTTGTAATGGAGGTTATAGCATCAGTATCCTTCAGATAAAGGAATACCATATAGAATTTACTAGATACTAGCAAAGAAAACCTTGTGAACTGCTGTGTACAGTAAAGAGAAGCTCCTGAGTCAAACCTCTGTAGAATCCAGCCACAAAAATGGACCAGTTGCTCTGTATGGTAAAGTCTGTTTATGAGAGACCTAGATTTTAAAGTATTATTTTATTTTTATAAGCATTCTGGTAACTATTAATATCTAATAAATCACTCCTAAGTCTTTCCAGATTTATAATTGGAAGTTTCATTAAGAATATGATCAACAGGCTAAAGCAGATAAATGAGAAAAAGTAAAAATACCTAAAGCATATCCTTACTTTAGAAACATTTGTAGAACTGTTAAGAACTTAAATTTCTTTTTCTTTAGAAGAGTAAAATGGGTTCTCACCTGGCACAATGAACCAATCAATGAAATTTATTAAATTCCCAAAGCACAGCACGGCAACTACCAGGCAATCCCTCTTTGCTGGATTGTTCTTTGACACAGACACTGGTGTTCCATCTGCTGCAGCAGTTCCATAGTTCTGTCCCTCAAGCAGTGCCTGGAGCAGCGAGTCTGTGTCCTCATCTTCACAGGGGGGTTGCATGTTTGCAGTGCAGACACTCAGCAGGGATGGTAGAGCATTTCCTCACACACAATTGATGCGTTTGGCCTATGAGGAACTTCAATCACTACGGTCATTTCCGGCACAGAAGCACAGCCACTAAGAACTGAAATTAAATGTTCCTTGCAGTCAGATGAACTTACCAAAAAAAAAACCTGCAGTGCTGTGTTTTGCAAAAGTGTTGAAGACCATGGCCTTGAAGACAAGGAAAAGTAAATGTAAACAAAAGCAAAGTAATCCATTGTGCACCCAAGAACCAAAACAACTCTGCAGTGATCTCACAGCAACTACAAATGCAAAAATAACAGTATTCTTTGTTGTCAGTGAGTTGCCAGAGCTAAAAAGTTTTTCTACAAAAGAAAGTAAAAGAAAGAGAGAAAGAAAGAAAGAAAGAGAGGGAGAAAGAGAGAAAGAGTGAGCACCAACAGCCTTTAAAACAGGGCTGTGGCTTCCCCTTTCTGCCTCAAAAAACAGGTCCAAAGGGGGAGGAGGAGAGGGCACAGGAAGGCATTCTTGTTCTTTTGGTGCATACAGACACCTTTATCTGCCTTCTTTCTCTGTCCACTCACATTTTAAAAAGTATTCAGTCACATGTCTTTTGAGCTAGTTTGTGGATTAGCAATTTCAGAAGATAATTTATTTTTTGCATCCTGTTAAGAAAATTTAAAGTGAAAATTACCAGCAAACTCTAAGAGTTTAAGAGTGAAGCAGTTAATTTGAATAAAGAGTGCTTATGGCTTATGACTCATGTATGAAGACACAGGTCTGTGGTTGGGCTTTTTTTAAGAACTGGATATTTCACACTTTAGACTGAAAAACAAAATAGCACCTACCATTCTTGGCCCTCTTGCAAATGCAGACTCCTTTTCTTCCACGTGTTCAACACTAGTATTTAATTCTATCTTCTCTTTACCTCCCTTTTTCTCTGCTGTAGACCACAGAATGCTCTCTGAGCAATGTATTATTTATCCCAGTACTATCCCAGTGCTAAACTAAACCAGCGAAGTCAAGAGCTCCTTGGAAGTTCTTGGAAGCAATAAAGAATCAACACAATTTTGTAGAAATTAAGATTTTTATCTCCAAGCCCAGCCGTGGACAAAGGAAATCCCGAAATCCCGATGTACATTCCCAATTCAATCTCCCCGGAGGAGTCGGAGCCTCGCTGCGCCGCTGGGTGGTGCCCCAAGCCCGCTCCCTCCTGGTCTCCGCATCCTTTCCCGGGAATATTTTCCATCTTTGCTTCCCAGCCACAGCCCAGACCTTGTAAGGAAGGCCTCACGGGCAGCTCAACAGGGTTTAACTCTCACTTTGGGTAGTTTAAATGTGTCTTGATCCAAGCGTCCTCGGAGTATCCCAGGGCACATCCCATACTGCTCTCAATTGCCATTCGCTGCTCGACCTGATGTTTTGAGATGGCCAAAAGCAGGTTTTTAACTATGACTGCTGTGACAAGAACACGATTCTGCTTTCATAGAGCAGAATTCCCAAATTTTCCAAAGACAGAGTCAGATTAAACAAAATGTTCCCCACAAACACAAAACCATCAATTCTAAACACTTCTTTTAATCCCCTTTTTGCCCTTCATTAAAGTTTCCAGATACCACTTCATGCTTTTTGTTGCTGTACTACCTGGCATTGCCTCTGTCTAAACATCCCCATTCTCCCTCCCCTCAAGGTCAAAAGCCACCTCCTTCCACCACTCTGGCTTTCACTGCTGGGTACAAATGGTTTTTACAAAGGGCCCCTGTGACTTTGCCTTCTTCTGTCACCTCCATCATTCCTTGATAGCCTCTCTGCCTTAACTGCGTGCTTGTCCTGTTCTCCAAGCACAACTTTCATGTTTGTCCAGACCACACTGCACCAAAAACTTCCACCAAAATTTTGTGACAACCCACTTTTGCATTGTGGGCATATAGAATGCCACTATACAATACTAGTCACCTTTTGCTAAGCATAGTCACAGCTCACTTCTTTATAGCAAATTAAATTTATTCCTTATTTGTTCTGTCAGTCAGGTAGTTCCTTTCCTGGAACAAAGTGTAGTGTTTGCCTCCACAGCTTACCCTGTCGGTGCCAGGTGCCCATGTGATATAAAAAGCAGCTTTTTATCCCTGTCACACTCCTTCTTCAGAAGCTCTGTTCTCTTGGTGGTTCATTTCAGCACGAGATCTCATAGCTGTGCCATGCAGTTAAACCCTCTCATGAGAGCAGCAAGTCAGAACCTCTTTATTCTCATGTTTGGCACTAGCCCAGACACTGAGCAACGTGTTTCCTTACACCATTTGGAATCTGGCTGTGGTACCAAAAATTGTTTTGATGGCTGGACTCGACAGAGGCAACTGAAACTCCCCAGCTGAACAGAGATGTTTGGAGAGAGTTAAACTGGCTGGCTGATCCCCAGCAGGCCAACAAATGTGTTATCCCTGAATCCTGATAGGACTGCTTGCACACCACCAGTGTGAGAGCTTCCAGCTTTCCCTGAAAGGGTTTCCAAGTGTTTACTACAAAATGCCTCTGAATGTATTTATTTATCCAAATATCCTCTAATGGTGGATACTGCCATATCCGTGAACAGCTTTGGAGGTTTGCCAGAGCTTTTCCAGAAAGCTACATCAGAAGGGGCATTAATTGTGAACCAAGATGTCAGAAAGATATAAATTGAAAATATTTTATTGTTATCCTGATTAACTCCAAAGCATTTCCATACATGTAAAAAAAAGATTATTAAGCTGCTGAATAGCAAACAGCAACAAAAGCTGTGAAAATCTAAATATGAAAATAATACTCATTGTTGACTAGATCTAACAAAACTGATTTTAGGAAGAAAGAAATAAGCTGCTTTTGGTATCTCTCTCATGCATTACCCAGTGAGAGAACATAAAGTAACCAAAAGAAAATACACACTTTTGTGTATTTGCAAGTATGTATTTAATTTCTGCAATAGATTATTAATTAGATTAATTATTAATCTTAGATTAAAAATTAAAATTAGAACCAACAAGTATGTATTTAATGTGGAGCATATGAATGGTTTGCATTTTGAGGTATACATATTTTAAACTTGTTGTGAGGGAAGGAAATTCATAAATCATGAGATTCTGCAAATAATTGACATTTGGATCGGTGCAAAACTTAATAATTTTTGTGTTTGAAAAGATCAAAAAAGTGAAATTTAACATCATTCTGGTAGACAGAGAGCTCAATAAATGCACGTCCAGACCTACCTGAAATATTCCACTCCAAGGAGATTCAAAGACAATTACAGTGACTGCAAAAGAGCTGCAGAGTGACAGCGATTCAGGTAAGAGGCTGTGAGGGTTTAAGGTTTGTCACTACTTTTACCAAGGCTGCACAATAACCCACTTTGGTTTTGAATCCAGTCTGCAGTGCTAAAACACAAAGACAGACTTGGACTGAGACATGAACACCTTGGCTGTGTGTCTGGAAGGGCAGCAGTTTGACAGCTTAAACCAAGCAGTGACTAGCCTGACAGGAGGGCAGATGACTCAAGAAATGTACTCATGTATAAAAGTAGCATAATTTTCAGTTACAGATTTATTACAGAATCAGCACTTGATCCTGTTCTCATAGAAGTCTATAATACAAAACTCCAGAGATGACTCATCTACTAACGTGTATATTTTTCTTGCCTTTCAGCCCTCCAGACTGATGCACACTTGCCAAGCTGTTATTGCTTTGGAATACACAGCTGAGAGGAAGGGAAGTTTGAGAAATTCTGCACCTGTACTTTGTTGAATCTGCTCTATCTCTGTGTGGTGCTTGCAGTTACATGATTAACACTCAGGTAGCAACTGCTAATGACGTCAAAAGCTGTTAGGAAATATTTTGAATTTTAGCATGAAATTTAGTACCTGGATAATCAAAACTAGATTGCCAACAGTTTTTCTTCACCTTTGTGGGCAGAACAGCACGTGTGACTTGTTATTTAATTTTCATCTCTGTCCATATCTTGTGGAACAAATATGCTACAACAGCCTCAACCATCCAGACTAACAATTTTTACAGTAGTCCACTACAACTGAAAACTTCAAGAATACCAGCTGGACCATCTGATACACTGTACATTTAATTGGAAAGTATCTGCTAGCAAAATTCTCATTCTGTGAGTTTCAATAAATGCTACATTTTTAGTCACCACATCCTTTTTTTACCCCCTCACCCTGAATTTCCATCTAAAATGCTTTCTTTCTTGTTGCCTGAGTAATAGCACAAAACCCAGGGTGGATTCATTGGAACATATTCTAGCATTGTGATAGCAGCAAATAAAATTTACACACACTAAAGTATAAAACTAACTATTTCATTATTACTGACAAATAAGTTCTATATGACTTCCTACTTCCTGGAATGCAGATCATGCTTTTGGTTGGCAGGGAAGCTACTTCAGATTCTTCTCCTTCATCTTTTAAATTACAAAACAAGCTGCAGCTTTACAAAAAATTTCTTGTGGCACTTACCTAGATAATTTACCTCACAGGTGACATTCTCCTTGGTTGTATCCATATATTTCTGTTCCAAAAGGTATAGCAGAAGAAATTACAGTTCCAGCACATAATCACAGAGCAGCGTAATATGAACACACTTCAATTCTATTAACTGCTCCCTTCTTCATCTTCTTCTTCTTCTTCTTCTTCTTCTTCTTCTTCTTCTCTGGGAGTACAAAAAGAAAAGCAAAGACCTCCTTTGCAATTGAGAACACTTTGCATTACCATCAGACAAAGGAGAAAGCTGCACATTGCTGGAACAGCTGCCTCTTCTAGCTGGGACTTAGTCAAGCACAGAGCAGCTCGTGGAGGTCAAGAGAAGCGAGGAATTATAGTAACTATGCACCAAAGATACTATTTCCCCAACCAGTTTATCTGCTTTGGCTTTTACCTTTTTTTTTAGCTCAAGCTTATCTTTATTGGTGTAGCTGATAAGTGAATTTCTTGCATTTTGGGATTCTGGATGCTTCTAACACAATTATAGCAGAGAAGGGCTGTGACATCTGCTTGGATTCTGGAAGAAAACTGTGGAATTAAATGTCTATTTAACCTATGTTTTGACCTTTCTACCACAGTGAAATATTCATCCCCAGAAGAATCATTAGTTGACCACTGCAGTCTTCAATCTGATACACCAGAGTCCTCTTCATTAAGACAAAAGCAAAGCAGATAAGAGCCATTTATTATGAGAAATGACAAACAGGCAAGCACTGACAGAACAAAAATGGAGGTCTTTCCCTATGAGGCCTCTCTCTTTCCAGCCTCACTACCTCCAGACTGAAAGGGAAGAACTGCAGTGAACACAGTATTTTAATCACTACAGAGAACGTTACAGCCAGGGTCAACTAAAAATTTGAATAAACATAGATTTAAAAATAGTCTAATTAAGTATTGAGAATGTCTTTATTTCCCAGAAGTAAGTCCTGCACAAAGAGATTTACTGTCACTCTCAGTGCTTCCAGTAAGGCAAAGTGAGGCTGTATTCAGCCTTTTGGGAAGGGTAGGTACATGAATTCACTATAGCCATGCTTGATTGATAGCACTGTGAAACAAATTCTGCCAGCAACAAAAGAAAAACTTGGTCATCTTTAAGCAGTAACCCCAGGATGCTGATTTTTATAATTGTAAGTCCTGTAGTTAAATGAAGCTAAGAAGAGGCTTTATTTCAAGTCCAGAATGGTTGCAGGAGTTTAACTGGCAGTCACGGATGCAATCATTCCATTTTTCAAACTATCAAAAAAAAAAAAAAAATTCTTTACCTTCCAACACAACTTATGTCAATAGAACATCTTCTGACTTAGTTCATTGAGATGCTTCCTTAAGAAATGATTTAAAAGTACAGAATAAGGACAGTGTAAATCAAGAAAGTGATTAATCTGTTCAAAAAGCCAAATATAACTGAAGCCACCTGTGTCTTCACTGCCTCCATTCCCCCTCCCCCTTTCCTCCTCCTCCAACAAGTTCTTAGTCCTGACAGAAAACCAAAGCAGTCCTACACAGCCACACACTGAGATAACCAGACTCCACAGGTTCATCCCTTTTTCCCACCCACCTATTTCCACAACAGCCTGTTTGGTGCTCCAAAGCCCAGCTTTTCCTTTGGGCTTCAGGTGAAATTAAATGCAGTTCCAGAGTTCCCGTGTACAATATAAGAATTTCACTTGTATAATTTTCTAGTAGAAGCAAACATTGTATTATATGATAACACTATAGCCCACTGATGGCTGGATTTACACTATCTTAACCTATTTTGCTTCCTTGAGGGGACTAATCCCCATGTAACATCTCTAAGTGCATCCACATTAAGGGATTTGGCACTTGAACTGCGCAGTACAGGTTGTGTTGCTCGTGCTCTCATAGATCCCTTGGCAGGTTACATTTGTATTCCCTGCTCCCTTCATCTCTGGGCAATTTCTATCCAATACCTCCCTGGATGCTGACATATTTCCTTCCCTTTTGTGCACTGCACTAATTTTGTACTCACAAAGGCACCAGAATGTGTCAGGTACAAATATGAGCATATCTCAAAGAACTGCAAGTTTACTGTTCCAGGAAAAAATTAACTTTCTTGGCAAGCCCTTTATATACCTCATAATCAACAATTTCCAGCCACAATTTGAGGTAAGAGGCATCAACTGGGATACATTTTGCAAAATGAATTTTTGGGATATATTTTATAAAATGTGAGCAAAACTAAAGAATTTAGTAAGTTAAAAGGAAAAACAACTTTTAAAGTGTAATTCTTTATTTTAAACCAAGTATGTCTGTTCTTTTAAAACCAGCTCTATCTAAAATAAAATGTGAGATAAGGGCAGCCCACACACCATGAAATCCAGCATTACAAAGTACAGAATATACCAGTAGTTCAGGCTTGCTGCAGAAATTTCAGAGAAAGTCAAAACACCGAACTGGTGGGTGTTACTGAGTAAGTGGCTGGAAATAGCATGTGGAGTGCTGAACCAGCTCCTTACAGCAGAGCTTCATCTGCAGGTGCAGAAAGAAATTTCTTCATCTGAGTTTATTCAACAAGTTCATTTTGATGCCTGCTTCATAAGAGATGGGAACCAAACGTGGATTTGGAAAAGGAAGCCAGCTAGATTTTTCCTTTTCCAAACTTTGTGCAAAATCAAGGTGTGGGATGCTTAGCTCTAACTTGTGGGAGGATGTGATCTGGTAGTATGAATATCTTGGAAGCGGGGGGAGCTAAAACCAAATTTTCACTTTTCATTTTTAATGATTCCTCTGTGCATTTTAACCAAATCCCATCAAATGTAACTCAACAGAAATTATCAGTTAAAAGCTCACAGCATCTAATAAACAAAATAATACTCAACAGATTAAAGAACAAAATCAGAAGTTTGAAAATATATATATTCACATATCTTAAATCAATGACTCCAGTCCTACTGACTGTCAAAAATAACATCATACCAAGCACATGGAATCTGCTATTTAAGAATGTAATTAAAAATTATAAATATAAAATAAATTATGTAAATTAGTATTCCCAGCTCGCCATTTTAAACCATGAATCAAGTGTTCAACTCTCTTGTTTAAGCCAACAATAGAAAAAGGAAGAAGTGAAAACAGTATTTTAACTTCTGTCATCAAATTTACATACAAATAACCATTCTCAAGTATATGTCCTTTTTTCCTCAAGAAAGAATTCTGATGTTTATTTTCTTCCAGCAACATGCCAGCATTTCAGAAAAGGCAAATCAATTATGACCTGCCTCATATTTCACATCCTTGTGTTTGTTCCAAGGACTAAACACTGACACAGCAGTGGGTCTCATGACTGTTTTCCATCAGGTATATTAAACTGATTGTCAATTAGGTCAGGCTTTCAGATTGTGGAGCAAAGATTTCTTACAATCAGTTCTTTAGAAATATGAGTTAGAAAATTGCAACTTTCATTTTAGTTTAACCCTCCCCATAACTATGTTGGCTTTAAGACAGTGTTTCATCATTAATTTCTGCTGCTTTTGTTTGCAGATTTATTTTGATGTCGTTTTTTACTAATAATAAGGAAAGAAATCTAATTCTGGAGAAATTATGTCCATGTTGTGTAACATGAACACCTTTCAGGGATCATTTTACCCTCTCCTACCACTAATGACTAGGCATGTCTCTGTTTCCCAGCTGAGAACGCTATCAGTTTAAGTAATAGTTTAAGCTTATACAAATAAAGTTTGGAACAAGGTCATTCTGGTTTACCTAGGTCTTGAACAGCACCTTTCTGCCAAAAGCCTGAATCAACACCACCATAAGTATCCATAAGGATTTTCTGCAGTTCTGGAGACTGTTTTACCACAACCATTCCTGTCAAGCCTGATTCATACCAGAAATCTTACCCAAAAGTCAGGTCAAAACACTTTGTTTAGTTAGTCTATATCTACATCTGCTCTCCTTGACTCAAGCAATCACTGTCCACGCTTCATGCCACAACTAAAGCCTGTATCTGTGGTCAGTGACCTACTGCTGGATTTATTAAGGAATGACAGACAGACACATGGTAAAGTTTGAACATTAGGGACATTAAGGTTTAATTTATCAGGGAATGTAAGTCAGGACTAGCTCTTATTTCTGGCTCCAGGGCTTGCTCTGGTGTCTCAGACAAGAAAATTAAGTACCATGGACTGCCATGCATGTCCATCCTGACTATTTGGATTGGTAGGGAAGAATGGAGATTCTTACCTCTACAGGAGATCATCAAGGATTAGTGTTAACCCAGCAGAACCCTGATCAGAGCTGGAGAAGCTGAGCACTGCTACAAGTCAATGTAAATATTTTCATCATGCCCTGCACAGAGGCAGGTTCTGAAGAGATGCATTGCAGCAGCTGCAGCAATTCCTGTACCAGGCTTCCCTCTGTTTGCCATGCTCCTGATTCACTGGTCCATATTTTCCAGGAAATCACACTTCTTCACACACACACACCCACCTCCAGTGAAACGTGAGCCCAACAACATTTGAGTAACAGTTAAACTTTCGAACCTGTTCTGTAGGAGTAGCCTTGAACTCAGCACAAATACTTGAGGCCAGACAGATGTGTTCAGCCCAAGTTTAGTCCCCAGTTTATTTATAGGTCACACTGGATTGGGAACAAAACACCTTTTAGTCTTTGTTATGCTTTTATTCAAGCCAGCAAGGAGATATGAATCAAACAAAAAAATGCAATGAATTGCTATCTCCTTTTTCTCAATTTCTCTCTTCACAAGGAGTTTTCAAAGCATTTTTCTTTGTGATGCATATCCACAGTAATGGCCAACTGTTACCTCTACATACAATGTTTGAAGAAATAACTTAGATTTTACTACTCACAAGTAAACTCAGTCAAGGCTTATTCCAAAAAGAGATTCCTTAGAGTAAACTACTAATGTATCAATAAAAGCACAGCAAAACCAAGTGCTAGGAGGTAGACAGGAACACAAAACTGCTCAGCGAACTGATACTATTTCCTGGTGACAACTTGGATCCAGAACATAAGCTTTTAAAACACTTTAGCCTTTACTGTTTGCTAAATACAAACAGCAAGAAACCCAAGCCTGCAAATGTTATAAAGGACATATAAATGGTCCCTTTTTGCCTAACAGGAACTGGTTTTAAGCCTAAAAACTGGTACCTCACAATGCCACCATTTAAAATGTCTCCTCACCGACTCTACATTGTAAAATTAGAGGAGCTTTGTGGAACGTGTTACAGGGAGCTGTGTCGATCTTACCATAAGCTTTTTGAATTTGCCAAGAAGCTGAAGTAGGGGAGCAGATGATGTTAACAGTGTGAATCCACCTGGAACACTCTACAGAACAGAAACAATCTAATAGTGTAATCTGTGATTTGTGTTGTGAGGGAGGAACTGGGGAGAGAGTCAAATAAAAGACATCATATTCAAGAGAAGTAAGATGCTGAATTTGAAGCTTTGATACTTTTTAAGGTGACAGAGAAAGTGCCAGGATTTCCTATTCTAATAATGAGATGAATTATTATGATAATATACCCTTGCCAAGGGAAAGATTAATGCAGTAAGGACCACAGCAAATGGCTGTCAGAGCTGAACAGTCATTATACCAGAAAAGGTCTCAGAAAAGAGAAAGTAATCTAAATTCTTATTGCTCTTCCACTCAATGCAGAGATGGGAGAGACGGCTGCAGAGACACTGAATGCCAGGGACAGTAAAACAAATTCAGAAAAACAATCTCACTTATCTTGAGATCTTTTCCTCAAATGTGTTGCATGTTGCCTCAACAAACAGTAGGACAAGGTGTTTGTACATAGGCAGTATGGGAAGTAGATATTAACAGAATAGAAGATCACTTCATCTAGCAGGGAAACGCTTTTCCCTCTTTTCACACAGCCTGGTGTGTTTAAGGACAGGCAACATGAGATGCAAGCCAAAGAGTTCCCCTCTGCTGTGGCATGAGAGCTCCATTTTCATGATGGGATTCCACAGAGTCTTTACTGCTGCAAGGAAACATTAAACTAGTTTATGCCTCAGTCACACATCTGCCCTCACCACCATGGCCATGTTGGACATTTTGCAGCTGCACACAAGGTGATTTCACAGGGCAGCATTAGAACACTTCAAACTGCCAATGTTTCCCATAATGAAACATACTGCTTTTATAAACTATGGTTGAATTTGTTGCCAGAATAAAGGAATCCAGGTAATTTGTGCCATCATAAACCAAATCCTTTCTTTTCCAACCTACAGTCTTCTATGTTCCATACAAGGAAAATCATACACAAAGTATAGGAGACTTTCCTTTCTTAAGTCAGGTAATTGCCACCCAGTGACCTAATGGTGGACAATACAGAAAGATTTTGATTAACAGAATGTAACAGAAATAGAGTTGTTTCATATAACCTTTCAGTTTTCAGTGCTGCAGTTAGGTCCTCTATTAATAGAACTGTCAGAAAGTGTACTCATGCCTGAACTGACATCAGGTACAGAAAGTTGAGTGAGTGAATTTAGCACTGGCTTAACTGACATTGTGAACAAAGCCTACTTTTTATTCCTGAAAGAGAACTACCATCCACAATAGTGTCACTTCCCATCAACATGCCTGAATTCCAATCTGGGTAACTGTCTCTTAGCATAATAAGTTTACAAAATGCACTTGCACATGATAGCCTCCTATGGATAGATTGTTTTTTAAGATTGAATGAACCTGACTGAAGCAATACAAAATACAAATACAAAATACATTTAGGAATTAGAGTCGATCTACAAAGGAGAAAGGCTTTCACAAAGACTTTCTTTTTTGGCTAAGGACACCCTTACGAGATGAATTTCAGCAATGGTATCATACACTGTGGGATGTCTTCTGTCATCCCAGTTTAATCATTGAAAAGGACATAGATTTAATCAGAACTGCAAGAATATCTGGGAATAGTATTCTGATTAATTGTACTAGCACAGTAATGAAACTCTCAGACTATACTGGGCCTTCCAAATTGGAGCACAGGAAATGACGTTACCATTGCTCATTCTCTTTCCTTTTGTTGCAAGCCAATTTTGGTGCTCACAAAATAAAGCCCTTGTAGCAGAAAAAAAATAAATTTTAAAAATCCCTTTTTATAAAGGATTTTAACATTTTGGCAAACTGATACAGGAAAAATCCCTTTGTAGTAATTTCTTTTTGCAATAGAGCAGGGAGTTTCTTGCTTTCTATCACTGGTAATATCACTGGTCCAATTAGCCAGAAACTGCATATACTTGAGAACTGAAATGTAAAATTAAGGAATCCAATGAAATGCTTAAAGCCAGAGAAGCAGAGCAGCCCATATGTTTTATTTTAGAATTGCACGCACCTATTTATCACACTATATTTTTCACAGTCAACATGTGAGCTTACAGACAATTGGTACTTTTGTCAGGCTTCTCCTGGTGATTTAGTTAGATCCTTGGGATAAACTAAATTTTTAGCTCTTTCCCTCTGCAGTGACTGTCCTCAGACAGTGTAGTCATCCTTCAAAAGCCCTTTTTCTGAAGGTTTTTGCTGGAGATCCAAACTCAAGCCTAGGTTGCCCTTCAGGGATACACTAATGCAGGAAAGCCTCTTCACCTCTTAAGTGTAAGGGTTGATTTAGGCTTTTTATCTCTCTTTTTCATCCCTGGGTGCATCCTCAGTGCAGTGGCACAGTACTCCAAAGCATCCCAAACACACACACAGACAAAAATGTACATTTTGCAGTAATCCTGTGTGAGTTAACTTTTACCTGGCAGCTGGTAACTCTTTTAACCTGTTCTAGAAAGATTCTAAAAGGCTGCTTTTTTTAGCTGTTCAACAAAACCTCCCGTATTTAGTGGGTCGGAAGATGGCGGCAGCCTGAGGACCAGCAGGGCTCTGGACACAGACACTGTCGTTACTGACTCCCTGTATCTGACAGTCCTGTGCAGCCTGGTGATGGGGACAGATGTGTTTTGGGGATTGCTGTACCTCAGCAGAATCTCGTTGCACCCCCTGCCATGGTCAGGGACATCTTCCACCATCCCAGTTTGTTCCAAACCCTGCCCAGCTTGGCCTTGGACACTTCAAGGGATCCAGGTGGAGCCACAGCTTCTCAGGGCAACTTGTGGCAGGGCATCGCCACCCTCAAAAGGAAGCATTCCTTCCTAATAATGTCTTTCATGAGGGCCTTTGCAGATCCCCGAATTGTTAGGCCTGGAAGGGCTCTCTGGAGATCACCCAGTCTAACCCCTGCCAAGGCAGGGCCACCTGGAGCAGGTGACACAGGAAGGTCTAGGTGAGTTTGGCATTTCTCCAGAGAGGGAGACTCCACGCCCTCCCTGAACAACTCTGTACAAGTGCTCTACCACACTCATGTAAAGTTCTTCCTCAAGTTGAGGTGTAACTTGTTGTGCTTTAGTTTACGGCCCTAAATGTCCTTCGTGAGGAGATTCCCCTCATGAAGAGCGCCCTTCCTCCCCGCTAACTCCAGCTTGACTCAGGGAGGGGAGGCAGGGACCTTCCCAACATGGCGGCCAAGCACGGCTCCCCGCCCCTCAGCCACTCTCAAGATGGCGGCGCGGAAGGGCCGGCGGCCGGCCCCGGTGCGCCTGNCCCGGCCCCGCCGAGGGGCCCCGCATGCGCGGGGCCGCACAATGCGGCTCCATGTGTGCGCTGCCACACTTAAAGGGAAACGAGCCGGCAGCGCTCCCTTCCTCCCTCCCCCACTTGCACATGTTCGCTGCATCCTCTGCCTTTTGAGCCGGGATACGGGGATCTACTCGAGGGAGAGCGGGGGTCTGCACGGTACCGTGGGAGAATCGGGTCGCCTTTTTCTTTCCTTATGTAAAAATTGCTTCGTACCCCCTTAAGGAAATGTGCGCCAGGTGTACCTAAACTCGGGCAGTTACAGCGCTGGCTGGAGTTGGCCGAGTAGCCATACAAAGGGACAGGGTCACTGGGTGGCACAGGAATTCCCGGAGGAGGATTTTGGCCCGAAACTTCAGTTAATGTCGTTGGAAGCCTAAGGGTGGAAAGCAGCATTGTTAGCAGTAAGGAGATGAGGTTGCATAACCGGGTATAGCAAGCTGGATGGTGTGTTTGTGCATCTCCAGCACTGTTTTCTGGGTTTGGTTGATGATCAGTTTGAGAAACTTAAATATCGTTAACTACTATCAAAGAATGTTTTACCCTTTTAAGATGAGGCTCTTTTAAAAAAGAATAATAATGATCACATACCGTGGCTAAAAATCTCATACTGTGGCCTTAGTTCTGAACATCAGCATGCACCTGTTAATGCCCTGGTAACTGCTGAAGTTATTAGTGACACTCAGTGATCTGCACATTTAGATAAGGTAATAACGCCTCGGTATGGGCTTACTGCAGGAGCTCCAGACTGGATGTGATGTGAAGCTTCTCTCCCTTATATATGATCCCTTAAAGGAAACAATAGCGTAGAATAGTTGCTTTCTGACTTGATAAAAAAAGCTTTTGGTAACCTAGAATTGTTGTTCAGCTGTCTGGAATTTCTCTTTTAATCTACTAACTGTGCTCCACAAAAGAAAGTTGGACTTTCAGTTGAAGTCTCTTGATAGGAAGTATTCAGCTTCTGTGGTGTATTTTTTTTTTTAATCTTGTGAGGTCTTAAGACCCTGTGTAGGCACAGACTGGTTGGATATGTAATTACATTTGTAGACTACTAGATCTAGGGGTTATCTTCTGTTTAACTTTCTGTCCATTCTTATCTGAAGGCTTTATGTGTACTGGTAAAAACTGGTGAGCTTTTCTAGTTGCCCCGATGACTGATTCAGCTGTACTGAGTGCAGCCATTTTCTTGCACCATGCAGCTATTGTGGGAGGTTTGTGTTTAAAGTAATATCAATACCTTTGGTATCCCTTTAGATGCGCTAAAAGAAATTGAAACCATATTAAAAGTGCCTTTGTGAATGAAGTATGGTGAGCATTGAAGGAGAGTCTTGAACTCTTCAAAAGTCCTACATGGAATAACTGACCTGAGAAAGTTATCACATATGGAAGAAACTATTTTCTGTGTGACATCTGAACTGAGCTGGCACTGGACTGACACTGTTTTTTCTGGTGTCATACTGTTTGAAGTTGTAGGGCAGAGGCTGAGCTTCATGATCTTCCCTACTGCTGACTTTCTTCCAAGTCTCACCTGCTCCAACGTGTCCCTTTGTGATTACCCACACTGTTTCTTCTACCTCAAACCAAAAGTCACTACTCTGGTGGTATTTGCCCTGGTGGGACTGCTATTCAGTCTCTGCTCCATGCAGTTTTTGCCTATATCAAGTGTGGTGAGTCATGGGGTTGTTACCTGGTGGTTGGGTTTTGGAGGACAGTAAAACAGACAGTTGATATTAGTTATGTGATTTAAGCTAGTTTATATGGCTTTAGATCATTCACTTGTGCTTCAGTAATGACAAGAGAGCTAAAGTTGAAGCAAGACATCCAGAAAAGAAGGGAGGTTGAAGCAAGAATCTGAAACCTGTACAATGGAGCAGTTGAGGATTGTAAAAATTCTTAAATGCTGAGACCCTGGATATCTCTTTTCAATGTCCAAAAGAAAAAACAATGGCAGGAGGAGGGAGGAATGTTAAACAATAGTTCTCAGAGTGGTTACCTGTTTGGTCCTACATATGCTTTGGCTCTTAATTATGGGGAAAGGTGTCTAGCTGGAGCACTCTAATGAGCTGTTTTAATTCCTGAGTACTTTGTCAAAGTGTAGGTCAACTGATGAGGCTGTTGGTTGTCAGTGAGATGTAAAACAACGGGTCTTACCAACCAGAGCAAGGCTTGACAACATAACGCGAAGTTGCTCCAATGAGTATATGAATACAGACTATTGAAAGCAAGCTGGCTTGTAATTTGAGCAGGGAGCCGGTACCACAGCACCATGTACAACATGCTTGTGCACTTCAGTGGCGTGTTCTGGATGCTGATAGTGCTCAGAGAGAAGGGACGTTCAATGACAGTCACAAAATATAACTTCAAGTTACACGTGGGTTATTTTTTAATCTGCCAAATTCTATGTGGCTTCACAGTGCCTTTGCAAATGAAATACTGAGCTGGATCCCCAGGGATTAAACGTAGTAGCTGTTATTATATTGACATGTGCTTGTCCCCATTAGGCACAAGAACAATTCAAGGTAGTAAGAACTTCAGTAGTTTTTATGGTCTTGAGTTTTTTGGGGGTTTTTAGGTCTGAAGGAAGTGGTGAGTTGGGATCTCTTAATAGCAAAGCCATTTAAAAAGTGTAGTCTAACTAGAGCGGGTGGATCAGATATCTATGGACATCTGTAAAATTAAATGCTATTCCCTCTCAAATCAACTTAATTGTAAGCTGTAGCAGCTTCTGGAAATATCTTAAAATTCAAAGGTATTTGTTCTTTTTTGAGGAGAGGGGTGCTTTGTGGGTTGATAACAATGTGAAATAGAGGCCTGTGCCTTGTCCACTTCTTCCAGGCAGGATGCAGGAAAAAGTAAAAGAAAAAGAAAGTGCCCCTGAACTTAAAAAAAAAAAAAAAAAAATCTATGGAAAGCATGTCGATTGGTGAAGCAGAGTTCACTCCAGGGGAGCTGGTGGAGGATAAACTGTTCTTTTTACAGCCCCAAAACTTTGTGTTCTTTAAAAAGAGATGCAGACAACAGGGTGTAAAGCTTCTCTTCCAGTCTCCAGAGCTGTCAGGCCCAAAGGTTTTACAGATTGAGGTATGTCTCTGAATACTTTTATTTAATCTTTCTGCCAAATTCTTGCTGACACAGATACTTCAGACTAGGCAGACTTGTCTAGTTCAACCAGCAAAATCACATAGAGAGGGTGCAGTTAAATCAGTGGTGCACAGTGGAACTAGAAGTGCAAGTTCTCTTTAACATAAACATGGAGCATTGGAAATGGGAATAACCATGCCTTTGTTGGCTGAAGTTGAGCTGGGTTGTAAATAATCTCCAATTTAGGACACAGGAAAAAGCCACACTAATGGTTTTCTTAAACATGAGAAACATGACATTATTTCAATTTAAAGTGTATACAGCTTTATTTCACAGCAGAATGTGTCAGTTGAACAGTTTTTACTTTCTTCTGTGGAAGAATCTTGCTGTGTAATGTTGAGCTAGTTGAATTTTTGGCAATTAGGACTTTTTAAAAAATCTATTTGACTGGTGAATGGAGAGGGAATTGCAGAGTGAAGATCACTTTATATATCAAAGCTGAGATGTGTATCTCTGGGGTGGCTGATGCATAAGAAACCTTTTTGTTGACCACTGGCTTACAGTAAGTTTGTCTATAAGATAATCATTTCAGTGGCACTGATGTGAAGTATTAATTTGGTACTAGATTACCTGTTAACTCCTTTGTGAAGGTCTGTTCATATGGACAGTAATATTCTGTATTATCCCAAATAATTAGAATTCCAAGGTCCTGCACATGTAAAACTTGGCATTTTAAGTGGTCCTAAAATTATAAACACCCCTGCATATTTTTTAAGAAGACTCTTGCATGTTTTTAGATAACCATCCATTTTTTTTTTGGTCTGATGCTTTTTGGGGTACTTAGGTACAGCATGTGTGTAGCAGTCACCTTAACCCCCTGGCAACATAGGGTGCTGTTACAGCAGATGAGATAATCCTGTTTCATGTGAGGTTGTGCTGACAGAATTATCAAAGCTCCCTTTCTCAAGCTGACTTTCTAGACAATATCATTGCAAAAATACAGGCCTTGCTCAGACTCCAGTCACTACAACAGCACAAGCAGCCTGAATTTCTGTTGCACTGTAAATAACATGATAAATGTGCCTAATGGCAAACTTTGCCTGCTACGTGTTAGTTTTCCAAATGCTTCTCTGGCAGAAATAATCTGAACTTTGCATCTTCAAAGAAAAGAATATTTATAACAGCAGCCACCAGCAAAATTTCAGGGATGCTGACAGTTTTGGAAAGTGAGGTTTAGCTAAACTACAGAATGGAAAGGTTTGATGACTCAACCACTTGCTTAAACAGGATGAAGCAAGAACCTGCCTCACCAAGGAGTCACTGCCTTGGCTCTGCCTAGGTCAGTTTACTAATCTTTCAGGGAAAGAAGCAAACTTATCGTGAACTCTGAGTTCTTTCCTTCTCTGCTCCCCCCCCAAACAAGGCATTGTAAGTTATACCAAAGTAAAGGCATATCTGGATCTGGCAGGAGTGATTTATTCCTGTTTTGTTTGAGAATAGTGGAATGGGAAAACATTGCTGGAGATCCTCTGAAATAAGGAGCAAAATTAATACCATTTGAGAAAATACTTCCATCAGAATTTCTGCTTCATTGGTAAGAGCTTCATTTGGAGATGTTAAATCATGCAAAACCAACTAAATTGTCATTGATACTGATTCCAACTTCATTATTGTAGTTATTTGCTGCAGAGCTGCAAAGGATTTATTGATTTGCTATATATGTATATATTTAAGAGAAACTGATACGGATAAATCAAGTAGAGTGAATGGTCTTCAGATGAAACCACATGTAATTACAGCTGATTCTGCCTTGACTTTTCTGTATATTGTTGTGATTTCTTTTTAATGCAAGACAGACTTGAAACAATATGGGCAAATTCAACTACTATAAAATTACTCTACCCTTTCTGTGGTTTGTACAAGTTGTATTTTTGTTCCCCCAAAGCCCTGTGTTAAACAGTTTGAAAATAAGTGACCTTTGTAGATGAAACTTGTTTGCCTCAAGTAGGCATTCTGCTAATTTTTCTTCCTGTAGTGTGTTTAATCAGTCTCTGTTTTGATGTAAAATACAACAGTTTGTTCCCAGCATAGAGATG